TCCGTTTCGTCCAGTACACTGGCCTACCTACTTGAGCTTACTGATGCCTTGATTTGGGGAACCTTCTGTAGTCGACCATCTCTCCTTTCGTCAACCCCACTGGAAACCCAATGACTAAGGCCAACCTGATTTCTGTTAGTTTCAACGATTTCGAGTCCAGAAAGTTTATTGGAAATTCCATCGCTGCACTTTGGGCCGTCAGTTTAACCGTCGTACTCGAAGATGTCTCCAAGGAGCAGCAACAAGCTGGAACTAGACGAGGGGACAAGAGCTTATTATAGTCAAACTAGACTCGCAGGATCTATCCTATTTTCTCACGAATCCTACACATTTACCCGATAACAGGACCGGAGATGGGGAGGGCGCAGGTGCCTTACGAAGCTAACACTCCAAAACGCGTATCAACAGCACATCTTGCTACATATGCTTCAGCGTGCGCGGGATCTCCATGGAGGCCACTTTATTAAGGCGCTATTGCAGCCTGACTCTCAGACTGCTAGCCAGGCTATCCGCAGTACAAAACACACACTGGGCTGACTGCGCGGCCCGATTTATCCCATCGGTTGGCAGCCCTCCAAGCCGCGGATTTAAACGCACCCCTGATAACCTGAAGCGCGTCAGATTGATTACAGTGAGGTAAGAAATGCGCTGGGTATCCAACTCTCTCTCTCCCCATCCCTAACAAAAAGCCACCGCCTAGCTGATCGGTAGCCTGAGATGTAGCGGGAGCAGTAGCTAACAGTGCTGTCGAACCCGTCTGCGCGGACCACAGCACGAATTGGCTCCATTGACACGCGCACCTGACTCTTTGGACCACTCGCATTTTGAATGGAAGTTGAAAATAATAGTGCTCTGCCACTTCACGTTAAATATCTAATCTGACAATCTATTCAAAGGAGCGACTGGTTCGAGCTCAGAACCCTGTATTTAGCCACGCAATTGGCAATTATATTGCCAAGGCACATTTTGCGATCGGCCACTCAATAACTCAATTCGGCGCGTTCCACTTCATCCTAGATTATCGAATTTCGTGAAGGATGTTAATGTTAATGATCCTTGTGCTTCAATCTAACCAGCGAGACCACATGGCCATTGACTAGAAGTAAACGGGTTATTGTGAATTCGTCAAAAGCTATGTAACAAACCGTCAACATAATCCCTTCTTTCGCGTTACCTCATATTACATCTTTTAATTGCCACGTAAACTTGCAAAAAATGTACATCCGACTCACAAATCGATACATAGCAACACGCTTCAATGGAACTAACCCCTAGGCTGACTTATATATTTGCCAAATTCAAACCAGAAGGGAGAGCGTTCAGAAACAAACTCCTTCAGAACGCATACGGGTAAGTGGCCCGTAGCGTGAAGGGGCATTCAGAATACGCTAGAAAAAATTACACTTATCACTGTCTTTTGCAGGGCATAGACAAAGCAAGTAAATAAGACAAGGACGATGTCCAAGAATACAATAAGGTATATCTTTCCATAGAAACGGGGACCAAACAAGAATTAAATGCGTTACATCAGAACTA